CCCCACGCATTCCAGAATCTTCCTCTAGGAACAAACCAGGACTTGCATATACACATACATACATACATACATACGCTCATTTACAAGGATGTATGTATGTAATAGTTAGATACCATCGGCATGCAACAAGGGCACTAACTACTAGTGACTGCGTAAACACTACTGCAAACAGCTAGCTAGATAGAACTTACCTTGGTAGACCTGAAAGTCAAATCATACATGCCGTTCAACATTGGCTTGCTTACTGACTGACTCAGAGGGAGGAATTCCACACATTCTGACAGCTGGGTAGGACGGACTGTAGGCACTAGGCAGGTACCGATGCAGGAGGAGATTTTGTTTCTATCTGAGATTGTTTGCTATTGGGTTCTTACGGGGTCTTGGTGGTGGGGATTTGGGAAGCTTAGTTGCTGGGTGGGTGGGTTGGTTTGTGCTACTTACTTGGATATGATACAGATGGGTTGGGGTTGGGTATGTGTCAGGGAGTAGCGCTTCAATGGGGTGTTGTATGCTAGTGGGATAGAATGAATTGCATGGAATTCGTGGCTTACAGGTGGGATAAATAGTACAGTGCTTCATGTGTAGATGTTGAAGGCGGCTACCGACATGCGGGATATTCAGTCTGGTCCGGAGGGAGGACGGGCGTTTGTGTCTGTGAAATCTGTTTGTTCGCTATGATATATCTATAGTATCTCATTATATTCTCCATGGCATCCACTTGGACTATGCGATAATGCAACTGATTTGAAACAATCTGCAACCAGCCGAAACCCGAAATATGGATCTGAAAAACCAGTATCGCTCGCGCATGACATGCTTTCGTAATAACATGACTGACCCCCCTTGAACGCCGCTTGAAAACCTTATGTATGTGCATGAGAAATGTATGTTCATTTGTCCAGGTTCTTGCTCTTCACCATCCGCCCCAGAAGTTCTTTGCAATGCTTCTCGCTATATTGCTCCCAGACCTCGTACAGCGATACCAACTCTTGAGTACACTCTATGACGGCTTTGATGTCCACTTCGCTCTCGGCAAGCCATCCTATAAGTCGCTGAATGCGGGGAGGAGGGCCGTTGCCGCCTTTCTCCCCCAATGCGACAAGAATGTTCATGCCGCCATCGCGCATCGCGCTGGCTAGTGGTGCTGCTGACCCGTGAAAGCTCGTCTGGCTGGGCTTGAAGACCACGGCGACGATAATCGCCATGACAGCGATGACGTGAGGCGGATACAAGAGCGGCAGGTCGGTGAGATAGTGGTCGTTGATTACAGACCACGCGAGAGCAACTTCATCTGACGTAAGTGACAGCTCGGGTTGAAGTTCGGATAATGTTCGATATGGGTGGTGCACAATAAGCTGAGAGTTCATCTCCGATATTAGAGAGAATTCGCATTCCCCTAGTTTGGAAACATCTGGGGCAATAAACTCTGTAGCCATGTCAGCGGGAAGCGCACAGGGTGCATATATGCGAGTGATCCGTACCTGGCCAGAGACCTCTAGCCTCTCCAACGACGAATCGAATATGTTGAGGGCATTCTTCCATTTTACAAGCCAGATAGAAGGCAGTAGTGACGACAAGATACGGGTTTGTATGTCTAATTTCGTTCTTGGTGTAGAACCTCTTGACATAGACTTGCGCTGTCGCAAGTGCTTGTTGTCGAGTAGACATCCGTTTCCCCAGTTTGATGAGTTCTGTTGGTCTGGTGAGCTCGGATGCCCACCGATTTAGGGTATATACTATGTTATCTTACGTTGACTGAAATAGATGTTCAGTAACCTTTGATCCGGCAAAGGAAACTGACTATGAGCGACCATATCCCGCTCTCTAAAGTTCTCCCGAATCTCCGCCAACTTCTCTCTCGTGAAGAGCCAGTGTCGGCGTTGAGTTGATGCCCAGTAATTAGCAGCCATTGTTGGGAGTCTAGCGGGAAAGGGGTATCGTGTGGGGTATTAATCTAGTATAGAAGAGGTAGCAACAGCCACTATAGTGCTTTTCCCTTTGGGCTTAAAGAGGTGCTGGATGGGTACAGATTATCCAGTTGGCTTTGGGCATCCGTTAGGGGGGTTGTAGAAGTGTGGCTGGTATGGTATACGACCCACTAGTTCAAGACAGCTGGAAGATGAACCGATGAGGGAGGTAACAGCCTGAATCAAGGCAACACACACCCCTTTTTAGCAATCGGAGTCAAGATGAGGTTTGATGTTGTGCAGGTCGGAGATGGGACTCCGAAGGGGCCGAACTGGAGGTAAGAGTTGAAAGGCGGGAGTGAAAGGCGCCTAAACGGGAATAGCCGGGAGATTTGGTGACGACCGGGCCGGGGTCTAGTTTTCTTCCGGTTCATGTTGTAAGGAAAGCAAATCATCGCGCCTGGATTTCTCACGGCTGTCGGCCTCACCCCAGCTGACCTTGAATCGACAATCATGAACACCGGATTAACACTTCGTTCATAATTTCACCGCAGTGATTTTCGATGCCCAAATTATTCACTCACCTTCACTTTCTGTCCTGCTGCGACAGGGAATCTCTCCTCTTCAAATCCGCCGACCCCTCCTTAAAAAAATAATGACGCAGTTGTGATAAGAATCACTTTTCACCGAACATGGACACTGGCGAGTCGCAAAAAGATCGGGACCAGAGAGTCGCCCAACTCTGGCAGCGCTTGGATACCAAGGGTGAAGGTCATCTTGACTTCAATGGTCTAAAGAAAGGACTAAAAAAGATCGATCACCGTAAGTCACGATCATGACATGATCCCGTGCGGCTCGATGCAGATGACCTGACGGCTTGAGATGCAACAGCACTCAAGAATGCGGACCCTATGTTACGCGATATCATTAAGGCAGTGGATACCAACGGGGATGGCTACATAGATTATCCTGGTAAGATCATGCGTCGCACCCCCCCATAGCGTCTCATATCCTCCTTAGTGTCACTGGCCATAGACGCCAGTCGTTTTTCCAACCTAATGTTCACCAGAATTCCGGACCTTCGTGGATCATACCGAAATCGGCCTCTGGCAACTGTTCGAGAGCATAGACCACAATCATAACGGCGAGATCGATAAGAATGAGCTCAAGACCGCTTTTTCGAAATCCGGGGTCACGGTCTCCAACGCAAGGCTGGAAGAATTCTTCGCGGAGGTCGATAGCAATAAAGATGGCGTCATCTCGTATGCGGAGTGGAGGTACGTACTATAGCGGTCAGCTGAAGGTGTCTGGAGTCTCCAGCTAATGACCTGTTGGTATCCAGGGATTTTCTTCTTTTCCTGCCGGCCTACTCGTCCTCAAACCTCCGCGCTGTCTTGTCATACTACACCGCCACGGGAAATCTTAACCCGGAAGGAGATGTCCACATCAATGATCTGCAGGGCTTAGGTACAGACCACTCGTTTCTTAAACGTTATATCTTGGCCTTACAGAACCTCCTCTCCAACGTTTTCCCAGTGCACATTTTGACACTCTTGATTCCTTCAGCCTACGCGGAAGCCCCCGGCGTGTCCAAGGTTGGGGTCGCGTTTGAGGATGACTCTACACCCTTAGACAATGACCTGGAACTGGAGTGGTTGCCCATACCCAGGATCGTCGCCATGTGGATGTCCTTCCGATATTATGAACAGAAGTTGACCGAAAGCACTCCTCAACTAGGTTACTTCGTTGCCGGTGGTATCGCAGGCGCAGTGTCCAGGACAGCGACCGCACCCTTAGACCGACTTAAGGTCTATCTCATTGCTCAGACCGGCGTGAAAACTTCAGCTGTCCGCGCAGCGAAGGATGGCGCTCCTTTGCGTGCAGCGGGGAAGGCGTCGAAAACCCTCGTCGAAGCTGTGAAAGATCTGTGGCGTGCGGGCGGTATCCGGAGTCTATTCGCAGGTAAGACTCTTCGTTAATTTTCTTGTTATGACATATTTCTCACTGTCACAGGCAACGGTCTGAACGTTGTAAAAGTCATGCCCGAGTCAGCCATCAAGTTCGGTGCTTATGAAGTGAGTTAACTGCTCGATGCAACCCAAACTTGTCTTCATGTGACTGACGTGCGACAGTCTGCAAAACGTGCTTTCGCCCGCCTGGAGGGCCATGGTGACCCCAAACGCCTCATGCCTGTATCGCAGTTCCTGTCCGGAGGCTGCGGTGGAATGGTTGCACAGTACGTCGCAGTAGCATAATTCCATCAATATAGCCGATCTAACGCATATGCAGGTGCTTCGTCTACCCTCTTGATACCTTGAAGTTGTAAGTCATGTCCTCAGCCATTGGTATTTTTCGCTCGTTCTACGAAACTAACTTTCTATTAGTCGCATGCAGTGTGACACCGTCGAAGGTGGCCTGAAGGGAAACCAGCTCATCGCAGCTACGTTCAAAAAGGTGTGGTGCAAGCACGGCCTACTTGGCTTTTTCCGTGGCTTGCCACTTGGTCTTGTTGGCATGTTTCCTTACGCTGCCATCGATCTGTCTACTTTCGAATACATGAAGCGAGCCTTAATAGCGCGGAAAGCTCGCCTGAACAATTGTCATGAGGACGACGTGCCCCTGAACAACTTCACCACCGGAGCGATTGGCGCTATGAGTGGAGGATTTGGCGCTTCGGTTGTCTATCCGCTCAACGTTCTCAGGACGAGAATGCAAGCCCAGGGCACCGTTCTGCATCCCGCGACCTACAACGGCATTGGAGACGTCGCTCGCAAGACTATACAGACCGAAGGACTGCGTGGATTCTACAAAGGGCTGACGCCGAATCTTCTCAAGGTCGCGCCTGCAGTGTCCATCAGCTATGTCGTCTATGAAAATTCGAAGCGGATGCTCGGGTTGAAATAGACGGCTTTTGCAGAACAAGTCTCGGGGTCTTGCCGCTCAGACAAAGTTGGCTGTATTGATGCCGTGGCTTGGAACTTTACCAGTTGTTTCGCCATATTCTCGCATTTCCTTCTACTTACCACCGTTTTTAGACATTGCGTTTGAGATACCCATAATGCCCCCACGGGCACATCGACATCTCTCTAGGGCGATAATGTGGATCTGTCCTTTGTCCACACACCACACCCCGTCAGAGATTCCCGTCCCTCTTTTTTATTGCTGCATCTTTCTCGCTGAACAGCCCGATGGCTTTGACTACTTCTCACCCTTGCTGGTATCGTGAAATCTACATACTATTTCACTTGGATAGCCAGCTTCCCCACGGATTGGGAGAGTCGCATGACCGGCTTGACTAGCATGGCAGGGCGTCGCGCGACAAAGCATTGCTATGGAGTTTCACATTGCTTTTGTCTTCTGTACATTGAATTACATGGGGGGTGTCGCCGGGGTGGACTGTTTTTCTTTTTTTTTCATTTACCTTTTTTTCCCTTAATTGTACGTAGGGTCGTACCTCACACCGCACTTGCTGCGTCGATACATGGATATATAGAGATACATAGCTTGCACATTCAGCTGAAATAAAACTACTTGCATATTTGCAAATGATACCAGAGACTTTATAGTATTATTAACATAACCATATCCTAAACTCACCAAAGGACTCCCCCTAAGCACCCTTAACAGCCCTAACCTCCTCATCCTTGGGCAAAACATCCGGCAACGGCCCAACCGGGGTAATCGCAAACTGATTAATCTGCTTATGACTCTTGGTATAATGGAACTTAATATGCTCAAAGTTCGTCGTCTCCTTGAAAGCCGGCACATCCCAATACAACTTCCTCATCCAGCGATGAATAGCCGGGTATCCGGACCGAATATCCCGAATATTGCACTTAAAGTGCTGCACATAGACCGGATCAAAGCGAATGATTGTCGTGAACAGACGAATATCCGCCTCCGTGATCTCCGAGCCGAAGAAGTACGGTGCGTTCTTCGAGTCCGACAGATGGGCCTCGATCTTGTCGAGAGAGGAGAACAATGTCGTGACGGCCTTCTCGTATGCTTCTTGCGTGGTGGCGAAGCCGGACTTGTAGACGCCGTTGTTGACGTCGTTGTAGATCCATTCGTTGGAGGAATCGATCTCCGTGCGGAGGGACGAGGGGAATAGGTCGATGGATTTGTAGGGTTCCGGGAGGAGGTCGTCGAACTCGTAGTAGAGCATGCGGATGATTTCGGCGCTCTGGTTTTTGTCGGAGGAAGATTAGCGCTTTGCACTCTGCTTGGGTGAGAGGGGGGGTGGGGGATGTGCTTACCTCGTTGCTTACGATGCGGTTGGTTTTCTTGTCGAATAGGACGGGGACGGTGAACCGGCCGGTGTAGTCGGGATCATTGGAGAAGTAGATCTCACGCAGGTGGGTGTAGTCGTGTAGAGGGTTGGTGGTGACGTTTTCTTCGGGTTGTTGTTCTTCTGTGGTTGCGAAGCGCCAGCCTGTTGTTTGATTTCTGTGAGTGTGTTTTCGTCGGATTGCTCAATTTGTGTGAAAACTAACCCTTTTCTCCTAGGTGCCAGTGAACGGAGGTGAAGGAGATGATATCCTCAAGACCCTTGAGCTTGCGTGTGATCAAAGTCCGGTGGGCTGTGCGAAGAATTGCGGCGTTAGTATGTGTAGATTTAGTCTGGGGACAGGAAGAGAGACGCACCCCAAGGGCAGGCGTAAGAGACGTAGAGGTGATAACGGCCCTTCTCGGGAGGAAATTGAGCGCCAGGCTCTCTGGAGATCCAGTTGCGGAAGACTGACGTCTGGCGCTTGAATTCGCCCGACTTATCATTGGGATTGACCCAGTCTGTGATCTTGCCACTGTTACCGGTCTGGGTGAGCGCCAATTGTTAGTTCTAGAGAGTTGATACTATTGAATGTGACAGCTGGGAATAATAGTGACTTACAGCCATGGTGCGTGCTGGATTAAAGATAGGCTGTGCGGGGAAAAAAGAGCTTCTGCAGGTAGCTGGATGTGAAAAGCGGGAGATAGCTTTGGGTTGCAAGATAAGTTGCGAGACTTGTCGAAGTCGATGGAGAGCAGGAAACATGAGGAGCAATGGCAATGGCAAGGAGGGGCAGAGAGCTCGTTCATATACAAAAAGTAGGACGAGGCGATACGAGGCCAGACGCTGACCGATGGGGTGCGGGGAGCCAATGACGTGATGCTTTGCTTACAGCATTGCTTACGGAGGGGTTAATAACGGGAGGTTGAGCCTCCCGCTGACAAACAGCTTGCTCAGTAATAACTAACTAATAAATCAATCCCTAGCCTTCGCGGAATCAATAGTTAACTAGCTGATTACTCTGCTACTTAGTCAAGATTATTCTCGAAAAACCCGGAACATAGACAGTAGTATATTCCTAGAAGAATTTAATTGAAAAGATAAAAACTACTTATACTGTGGCGTCTAGTGCGTTAACGGACATATCCAGAGAGGTCACGGGCCCTTTTTCTGCTCTCGTGCCGGTCACCCCCTCTACTTTCTCAGCTTCACCATCACATACGGAATCTCAACATCCTCCTCCGTCTGATCCTCCGCAGTCACCTCGAAGATGACGTTCTTCTGGTGCTCCGGAACCGGCTTCTTGCTGATGTGCTCCACCAACTTGCTCATCCTGTATCATAAGCGATTAGTACTGTAATACTCTCTGTGGTTACCGGGGGTACATACTTCATAGGAAGACGGTCCTTAACCTTAGACGGCCCATAGAAGCTGGCGTACAGGAGACTAACGCCAGAGCTAACCATGCTGATCTCCAATCCCATGTCGGAGAAGTGCTTGAGGAAGTCCTGGAGAGGAATATCATCCACCTCAAAGCGATCCCAGATCTGGTCGATTGTAACCTCGCCCTCCTTACCCATGTACTTGCCCTTGGGACTGGCGATAGGCTCACTGAAGCCCAGGAATGGAAGCGCAAGGTTCACAAATCCATTCTTGTACTGCTCAATGTCGTCCTTGCCGTCAATGATCTTGAACAGCTCCAAGGCGACCAAACCAGTCACCAACGCCGTCGTAGTAGCAATGGCAGGAATGATCTTGCCAGCAATGAACTTGGTCTTGTGGCGGTCAGCCTGGGGAATGTCGTAGTTGTCGGCACGCAGGTTGCTGGCAGCGGTGATGAAGTCGATGTGGTGGTTCGTGTCGTCATCCTTCTCAAATTCAACAGGGCTCAAGCGGAAGCCAGCCAGATCCTTGGGGGATGGAAGAGAATCCACGAGGCGCTGGATTTCCTGACCGTCGTCAAAGGACGAGCCAGTGGCCTGAGCGTCCGGGTCAGGATCGTTCTCATTCGCTTGAATCTTGACGCCGGACTTGGGGGTGAACTCGGGAACGATCATGTTGTCAACGACCTTCCTGTAGTAGGCCTTGTCGGCGCCAGGGTTCTTGATGCCGTAGTTGAAAGCGTGGAGGTTGGCACCAGCAACGATGAAAGAAAGATGAGTGGGGTTTGCGCTGTCAAACTTCAACGGAGTAGGCGCACGCTTAGGTCCAGACCAGAAAAGCTGCCCAGAGGATGTCTTGGAGTCGCGCGGGAAGTTGTAGAGAAGCTGCTGGATAGCGTTGTTGTACTGCGCCTCGAATTGGTTACGGGCCCAAACGATACAGTCATCGAAGGTCAAGGGCTTGTCGGTGACCAGGAAGTCACGCAGGTGCTCCAGCGTCTGCTTCTCGTTACCGGCCTGCTTGAGTGTCTGCTGGATATAGTTTGGCTGGGACAGATACATGTTGACAGCCTCGGGAGGGCCGACAAAGTATGTCTGGAAGAGGTCCCGGGCCCAAGCAATAGTATGCTCGATCCGGTTGGGGAAACTCTTCAGAGTGCACATAGGGAAGGTCTTCTCCGGCGGGTCTTGGGAGCTAGAGTAGGACTCAGTGATGCGAGGCAGGACAACTTGAGTGTTGCCCTTTGTACCGAGAGTTCCACTCTCCAAAAGAGGCTTCCTGAAGAAGACGCAACGACGGTCGACGTAGGTTCTTGCGTCCACGTTGTCAAGGGCATTCGTAACGCCGTCCAAGCCTTCCCAGAACTCCTCGTTGAAGATGTGCTCAGTGTCGGGTCCGACACGGTCCCGGAGCGTGACAATCTTACCATTCAGCTCAGGGTTCATTGCCTGCACAGCAGCGGAAGCGCACTCGCTCTTGAGCTTGCCAACATCCCGGCTACGGAACAAGAATTGTCTGTTGAGGTTACTCTTTTCGATCTGATCCATGTCGGTCACAATGATCTTTCCCTCAGGGCCAGTTCCAAGACCCATCATGGCCCAGTTCTTCAGCGTCTCACACCCAATGGCACCTGCTCCCACAAGGAACTGCTTCACGTTGGCAACCTTGTCCTGGAACTCCTTGCCGAAGACTGCAATTTGACCATCGTAACGGGTGCCGAGGGGCTTACAAGCCTCCTCAGAGCGGGTGATAGAGGTAGGAAGAGACTCCAAGGAGTCAAAGTAAAGCCACTGTTTTACAGGGTTGAACTTCCCGGAGACCGCCTTCAAGACCTCCTGCGCTGCAATGCCTCCGAACAGGGCAGCCAGGGGGTTCAGATCGCCACGGGCTTGGTAGCTCAGCTCCTTGATGAGCTTCTCATCCAGCTCCACCTTCTCTTCGAGGCTTGAAGCCAATTCATTGGCAATCTTGAACACTTCCTGGGCATCGCTATCATTGTGAGGGCGGGGAAGATCGCCATTGTGGCTCTCTGCAAACTTGTGAAGTGCCTGGACACCAACATGCAATTGCTGTGGCCGGTCAAACTTCGCAAAGTCGGAAATGATGAACTCGGGGTTCTTAATCTGTTCGCTAAGAGGAGCAAAGTCCATGAACTTAGGCATCTTGACTTGAGAGTAGATGCCACCGCTCTGGTATGTTCCCAGATCAGAGACATCACCAATAGAGAAGGTGTAAGGTCCCTTGACAGTAATTTTGCGAGGAGCACAACCGTTGAGACCCTCCATACCCTTGATCTCGGAGAAAGTCACAAAATCACCGTCCTCCAAGCCATGTCGGGTCTCATCCAGAGCGGAGACCAAGCCATTCTCGTCGATAGCCGCCACAATGCCACTGACGGGCTCCTCACCTGTCGCATCACCGACAGTGAAGTTCTTTCCAAAGTCGTTGAAGAGATAGCCAAAGAGACCGAAGGTATCCGTGATCGTAAGGTAGATGCCGTTCTTGTGGCAGAAGTCGGCAATCGCGAGCTGCTCCTTCAAAGGAGTTAAGGTGAGGACAATGGCCTGGTAACGCTTCAACTCTTCGAGGTTCTCTGCGATGTTGCTGCCCTCGTGGACCGTGACGGGAACGTAGGAGTTGAGCTCTGCAACTCTGGGAGCTGTAACCTCGGCACGCGGCTTACCGACGTCTTGGGGCTGGAGGAAGAACTGGGAGGACAGGTCGGAGATGGCGACAGGGGCAGGATCGTACAATGTGAGGGACTTCACACCGGCAAGGGCGATGTTCTTGGCTGGTAGCAATCAATAAGTTGTTCAGATGATACGCAAGATGTTGTACCCACCGATTTCGACACCCAGACCCTTCAATCCGACGACAAGCACGTTTGAAGAGCCCATACGCTTCATAGCTTCATGACCGAGGACATACCTGAACACATCACAACCCATCAGTATCTGTCTCGTAGTGGCAAACGGATATGGGGATGGAACACCTACAGTTGCCGGCTGTACAACGACTCATCGATTTCTCCCTGCTTGATCGCCTCCACAGTCTCCTGTGGGTTATCCACTTGCATCTTGGCGTCCTAGGTCTGGTCAGTAACGGAAGATGGACCAAAGAAGTTCTTTCGACATCACCGGGGTGATGGGGCATACATACAGTCATGATCTTCTTCTCCGGCGGAGCTTTGTTGTCGGCAGACGCTCTTCGCTTTCCCAGCTTCGCAGCGTCGCGAACGGGAATTTCGGTGGGAATTGTGAAAACTTGAGATGAAAGTCTTGCCGCTTGGAGCAAGACTTTCAGGCAGTATAATCCTGATGTAGAGAGTCAGGTAGGAGGGGTAGGAGCGGTGAGGTACGCGGAAGCGGGCGAGGCGAGATGAGATGAAAGCGATAGCAAAGTACAGACAGACAATATACTCTAGAGCAAGAGCAAGACTTTTAGAATCAGAATGAAAGAAAAGGCGCAGGTATCGCAGTATATAAAATAGAAAGGGTGAGGAGAGGCGGGGAAGAAGGAAGAAAGATGGATCACTAATGCAGCGAGCTCTCTCAGCGGCGACGTAAGAGAGAGGGACAAGCTGTCGGCGGCTGACTCAGCGGGTTTACCGCCACTCATTGGCTGGAGCCCCGCGGACACGCCCAGCAGCGAGTCGGCAACTCCCATTCAGTCAGTGACAATGAGCTCCAAAGCAGCTGAAGCGGCGGTGATGAGGCATCTTCGGCGGAGGCGCTCGGATCCAGATGGTTGTCGGTCCCGGATAAAGCCTGGCTTCAATCTTGTCCAACATTGATGTCTAACAGTCAACGAGACTCAATCCTCAGTCATCGTTTCTACGCCGCAACTCTTTCGCGACGCGCCGCGGCTTTACTGCGTCGAACAACGCGGTGACCCGTGCCTTTTTTCTAAGAGAGGCTTGTTCTAGGGTAACTTCTTCACATGTGTCGATACGAACTTCTTGGATGTGGACTTCTATACTGGCAGCGTCATAAATCCAGAAAAAATAAGGATCATTCCTTAAGGTTCATTCTTTACTCTGGTGCTTCTGGGTCTGTCTAGATATCTGACTTGATCGTCTCCAGAGAGATCCGCGCACAATGCTCCACGAGATCCTCCTCTCCCTCTCGGGTCAACCATCACCTCTTTTCAATCCGGAGACTGAAGGAAGTGCTATCTCTGAAGATGCCTTTCCCTTGGTTTCCCCTCCGGAGAAAGCCCTCCTCGCCTCTCTTGCCCGTCTGAGCCGTCTCCATACCGAACTACGAACACATACCGCCTCAATCTCCTCCTCCCACCCTTCTGTTATTTGTCGCGCAGTCTCGACGGCCATAAGTTCACGTCATCTGGGCGAATTCCAAAGGAAAATCTTAGAAGTGGAGAAATCGATTCTGGTAGAGGATAGTGGTTATGTGGGCGGTTACGGAATCGTGCCATTGTCGACGATTGTTGGCGAATTTTCTCCATGGACGCGACGATTGGAATGGCTGTGGGAGACGGTTAGGTTGATATGGCCCGTAGACTCCCGGAATATAGACCAGCTTTGCACTGGCGTGGCTCTGATCGACCACCTTCGGGCGGAAACGCGAACAGGATACGTTGACCTGAAAGACATGGCCTTGCATTTGGTTGGTGTCGCAGAGACTGCTTGGATGAGGCAGTTGTCCCCCTGGTTGCTGTACGGAAATCTCCCCATCCTCGGTGGATCCGACTTCTTCATACAACGCGATAATGCAAGCCATGATCAACCGCCCGCTGCCACGCAATTCGTCATGCATCCAGAGCTCCTGCCCCAGTTTGTAACAGCTCATACAGCCTCATCCATCTTGTTCATCGGCAAAACGTTGAATCTCATTAGAGCAAAGCGCAATGCACCTGCTGCGAACCCCTCTGCGGGCTTATCGACTACTTCCGTCACACTACACACGGAACATATAGAACAGCTTGCTGCATTGAAATCACCTATATCAGCGTCGAGACTGTCGAGTGCCGTGAATGCCATCCGGTTCTCTCTGTCCCAAAGCACGCTCTCCAAGATTTTCCCACTACCCAAGATTCTCGAAGTCCTCTCAGTTCTCCACGATTTTCTATTACTCCGACGGGGCGAATTTGCAACGGCTTTGGTATCTCATGCCGATACACGTATTCAAGAGAGGTATCGAAAACACGGGCATTCAGCCTCCAGACATAACCCATCAGAAGATCTTAAGGGGCTTTCTATTAAGGAAGGAGATGTAGTGACTGCTCTGTCACAGACGCTCTCAGAGCTTTACTCGCTGCAAACCGAAGAAGATCCTGCAGACGATGAGCTTGACCTTGCAAAAGAGCTGCTTCGGCTGTCGATCAAGCAGGATATTGACAATAGCCCAGCGCTGTCTCCCGATCTTGCTGGATCTGAGATGAATGCTAGAATCTCGGACGTCGCCTTTGACGATCTTCTTTTCCCCACTCCAACATGTCTCTCGGTCCACGTCCGCTCGCCTCTCGATTTGTTTCTGTCCGCCTCTGATATATCAGTCTACTCGAAGATTCACTCTTACATTCTTGGTATCCGACGCGCCCAGATGCATTTAGGCGACTTGTGGAAGCATACCTTCCTTCGAAAGATCCATCCATCCCCGTGGGGTCCACCTCGCAGCAGTACTCCTTACGGCCAGAGTAGACTAAAGCTCGGCAGACAAAGAGACAACATCAGGACTCGGCAGATGAGGCCAGTCTGGGCAACGAGCAGTGCCTCCCTCTTTGTTCTATCAGAATTAGGGAGCTACTTCCAGGGAGAAGTTCTCAATGGCAACTGGCAACACTTTCGAGAATGGATCGAAGGTGGATCCCCAACAACGGGCTCACGACCTGGAACCGCGTCCTCCGCTAATAGTAAGCGCACCGACCATTTTCAGGCCATGAACGGCCCGGCCGAATCTGGTTCCGGAGGTGATAGTCAGATGGTCCAACGGCATGACCCTGAAACATTGACCGCGGCGCATCGTCGTTATCTCTTTTCTCTCGTTGAATCTCTTTTCCTCACGGACATACCCTTTACTAAAGCCCTTCGATCATTACTGACGAGCGTGGAACACTTTATTGCACTAGTAGTTCGACTGGAAAGCATCCAGCGCAACATGGACCTCGAGACCGATGAGGGCGTTGTTGATGCTTTAGTAGACTATGCAGGGGAAGAGAAGGAGATATGGCAATCACTCAGTGTTGCGCGGGCTAGTGTCGAAGCTGGAATTAAGGACGCTGTGGCACGACTGCGAGACATTGATGACAGCCGATCTGGAGAAGGGCGGCAGATGCTAGAATTTGTGAAGGACTCACGCGAACATGGGTCGCTCCAAGCTAATGGCTCAGCGACCGAGTCTGCTTCCATCCACTACGTGCCTCGGAAAGCGACTGGTGTTGACCGTCTGCTCATGAAGCTGGACTTTGGCAATGCTAATGGAGGCATGGGACTTGGAGTCACTGCTGCAGGTACTTTCGGTGAAATGGCATAATTAGCAGGCTGCTCATTGCTGGCACATTGCATTGAATCGGTCGAGCCGTGGCTGGCTATTGAGCAGCGAAGACAGATATGACTGTCATGTCACGTTATGATTTATGAATAGCATGACTTTACGGTGTAGGAAAGTGGCTATGGATAGATTTCTGTCTGTAATGCGTTCTGTTCTAGGCCCATGTGCTCTGCCAGGAGGAACGTGACCTTGGGCGAGATCTGCTTTCCTTTCTCGCCGGTGCGTAAACATATACGTACTTACTTCCACGCGTCCTTTTTCTCCCAAGCAACGACGCCCAATTTCCTGCAGTTATGGTCACCGTCCAAGTGTGGTTGGGCCTGAAGATCCGTCTAGACTGAAGGGATCTCCAAATTATCAATTAACATTAACCGATCTTGCCGCATTGACAGGATGCTACAATTTACTCCACAGGGCTCCCAATCAATCGATAGACTCGCAGATATGCTTCCGGATGGGCAAACTCTCTTGTCTCATTGAATAGACATAATCAAGCACTAATCCCTGCTGACATGCTAGTTCATGCTTACATGCATAATAAGTATCGAATGAAGATGCCGGAGGTCTGAATTTTGTCCAGGCAGATGGCCAATTGTGCAAAGATGAAACGAAGGTCACCCATCTGGACGGTCGGTGCAGTCTAGACTGCCTGCAGGATCGCGACAGCTGTTCTCTGCGCACCTTATTTGATAAACAAACGTGAAAAGTCTGACGATGCACATGATCAGTGTTCGGTCCTATCACGGATTACCCAAATAGGAAAGTCACCCTGGCCGGTACGGAAGAGAAGGAATTGTTGTTTTTCTTTTCTCCCCTTGGGTCTACGTTGGGATTCTCCCGCCATTCCCCATCCCCCCGACTCCTGGCCTTGGCTCTCACCCCTGTCTTGCAACATACGGCTGCCACTGGACTTCTGTCTCGCAATGAAAAGAATGGATCGAATGCTATTTGTGTAAGGGGGCGAAAGGTCAAAAGAAGAAAGGGTTCGACTATGGGGAGGCAGGGCGAGCTTGGCAGATCTGGAGGAATCTGCATCCTGGAATGCTCCGATCGTTGGACAATGATATGCCGTCGGAGTCATCCATGGTACCATCCCGGGTTGTCATTATTCGGAAGCTTCGTGCGATAGTGGCAAAAGTACCACCCTTACGCCCTCCCTGGGTCAATTACGGGGGTGCGGAGTATGGCAGTATGGGAGTTCTGGGGGAATAACCGGCAATCCAGAGCCGCCAGCAGAGAAAGGGGGGGGGACCGGCATAACCTATCGGCGAATTTTGAGGCCACCGACATTTGGGATTATGGATGATGAACCTCTCATGTGCCATACTTGCTTATTCTCAAACCCGCCCAAAGCGTGGGGAAGATCACCGGCGCACTGGGGAGAAAATCTAGAAGGATGAATGACCCCATGAAAATCGGGGCCGACGCAGCAAGGATACCCGGAAAAGGGCAGCCCTCCAAGTCCCGGATCCCACCAAAAGTACTGTATTCTTATCTTGCTGCAGGATGGGGTCGCGGATGCCGTGGGGACGGTTCCATGCTGCGAGGGCAGATTAATTACACCACCACTTCGATGCCGAGACCGTTATTGGAGGGTTCCATTCCATGGAAGCCTTCGGAGCTACAAGCCGGGGAGAGCTTCTACCCTGCTTTTCGCACGCTACCTCTTGCACCACCATTACCCATCGTTCTCTGATTAGAACGGCTTAGACATCCGAGGATTCATTTTCCGTAGAAACAGTCCTCTGATTCACTGTGGCCAATATAGGGGATTGCCCGTCAGGGTCGCTGATGGAGCTGTTCTGACCGCTATTGCAGCAGCGTCGGTTCCAATCTGATCCAGCAGCTCGGTCTCCCCGTACACGGATATCCCGTTCTGGTGGGCCATTCCACTTTAATGAATGATTGATCGTCATCCCTCGATCAAATGATCAGGATGACTTGCCGGGTTCAGCAACCAAGCAATGAGAGAAGTCACGATGCCTGCTTCAGACACCACCATTCCCCCCTATTGCTCTGCTATGCGTCCGATGCCTGACTTTCCGCCCTGCGTTGCCCTGTGGCAAGCTTTCCTGGCCATAGCTTATGCATGGACCAGCCCTGGTACCACGGATGGTCTTGGGCGATGATGTGGTCTGGGTCTTGAAGTCATCGTGAAAGCAGCTCTAGAATCTGACGATGGACCCATCAAGGCAATCACGCGGCCATCATATTTTTCTGATTCCTTCTATTTTCGGATGTCTTGTGCGACAGTTGGAGATATGCAGTTTCGACGGGTCGTTGTCCGTTGGTCTTCTCCAGGTCTATAAACCCCAGGTTCTCCTACCAGGACAATGGAAGTCGACGATATTCTCTATAGCCATCGCGCCCCTGTGGTAGCCAAAGACTCTTCACTTTGCGTGCACAGTTGATTTCCATTCCGTTTTCGTCTATATCTTAATCTTTAATTTACCTAATAATCTTGCACGAACTATCGCCATGCGTTCTGTATTGTGCCGGTCGCTATCGGCCCTGGCCCCAGCCCGGTCGTGGGCACCATCCGCCATGATTCAGCCTATGTCACAGCGGCTGCACTCCACAGGGTCAGGTTCTCATGGCTCACACCACATCCAAACCCGGATACCGTCGTTGAAAGGCGAGCCCAAGCAGGGCCACCGGTTCCGCGAGTTTGACCTCGACGATCGTGTCTTCGCCATCACTGGTGGTGGACGAGGACTCGGATTGGCGATGGCTGAAGCTTTGATGGAGGCTGGTGCGAAAGGTACGATTCCAAGGATCTACGAAGCCAAATTTATCCCTTGGAGCGACTTCTAACCTAAATCTTCGTATACAGTCTACTGCTTGGATCGACTTGAGTCTCCCCACCCCGACTTCCTCGCCGCTCAAGAGCATGCCGAGAAGAACTATGGTGGCAGCCTGGAGTACCACCGTATCGATGTCCGAGATGAGTCTGAAGTGAACGACCTCTTTGCGGAAATCGCAGGCAAGAACCGGCGACTGGATGGCTTGATTGCCGCCGCAGGAATCAACCACCTGCAGAGCGCTCTGGAACACTCGCAGGTGGCTCTTAACGAAGTCATGCAAATCAACTTTAATGGAGTCTTTAACTCGGCCACTGCTGCTGCGCGGCAGATGTTCAACTACCAACAGAAGGGTTCCATCCTTCTCATTGCCAGCATGAGCGGTCTGATTGCCAACAAGGGAATGACCTCTCCCGTCTACAACGCCTCCAAGGCGGCTGTGATCCAGCTGTCCCGATCCCTCGCTATGGAATGGGGCCGTCACGGTATCCGCGTGAACAGCCTGTGCCCCGGCCATATCATCACCCCAATGGTGGAACAGGTGTTCCAGCAGAATCCCGCATCCCGAGCTGTCTGGGAAGCCGAGAACATGCTCGGACGACTTGCCTACCCGGAGGAATTCCGAGGTGCTGCTCTCTTCGCTCTGAGTGACGCGAGCAGCTTCATGACCGGCAGCACCATGCTCATCGACGGTGGCCACACCGCATGGTAAAATGCGGCTGTCTTGTCAATGGTCACGAAGAAAAAAAAACTACTACTACTACCGGAGTTGGCAATAAATAAACAACACGTTGGGAAATGGTATTTAGAGAGGGTCCGTTCGGGGAGGAGTTCTATAAATAGCTTTATGGAAGGGATGAGCATTTCAAAAGTCGCCTACTATTATGGATGATTCTTTTTTCTTGGGGAAAGGGGGGACATACCCATGGCTTCTTTTTTGATGTATCATACATACGGTTTTCTTATCTTTCTTCATGGCCTCATCACCAGCTCTATTTTTCTTTTGTTGCATTCTTTTTGGTCATGAGGGTTTTAAAGCGCGTTAAATGAACTGGTTTGGTTAATGGGATGATTTGATAGCTGTTTGGCTTGAATGATTCTTTTACTTTGCTTGGGGATGGATACGATAGGCTTTAGTCTTTGAAAGAAAGAAACCATTGATCTATCAAGTATTCCCTCATGGTCTGAGTATGACTCTCGTATCTATCTAAGACATTCATTAGATTCCACTCCACACATTGCCCACTACTCAACCTAGTGCTACTAACATCCTTCTATAAATGCTACCCAATTCCAGAAACCTACAAAATATACGTAAACTTCTCCCCCCTCCCACCATCACCACCACCTTGCCCACCCCCAAACCCACCCATAAGCACCTCCCTCTCCTCCAACTCAATCCCCTCCCCATCATTCCCATCCGCACCCCTATTCCCTTTTCCCCCCCTCATCTCCCTCCCCAAAAGCACCCTCAACACGCCCGCCAACACCGCCACACCCACCATACACCCCGCGCAGACCGCCATACCAGCCACATACCACGGCCCCTGACTCGCCGGATACAGCCTCGTTCCCAACAACGGCCCACACTGCCCAATAACATTCAGCAAGGCGACGCTCGCCCCCTTCCCCTCGTTCGCGGGCCGGTTATCCATGGTCCAGGTGATGATGAGGGTAATGGCGGAGAAGAACCCCGAGGTGGCGGGGTAGACGGCCAGATAGCGGATGGCGACGTGGATGGCGGGCGGGAGGTGCGAGTGGAAGTGTCCCGCTAGGGCGATGGCCAGGTAGGCCGTTGCGGAGAGCAGCGCGTGGAAGATTAGGTATGGGCTGCGCGTGCGGGTGCGGTCCGAGAGGTGGGATGTTAGGAGGACGGTTAGGAAGGAGAGGAGGTAGGGTGGGGCGGAGAGGGCTTGGGATGTTAGGGAGGTGTAGCCCATGCTGTGGGGTTTGCTTCGTTAGTTTGGGGTTGGGTTGGTGGAGGGCGAAGGGGGGGGG